CTTCTGTAGGGAGCAACTACTCGTTGTTATCCTGAACAACAGATGGCATTGTGTGCAATATGCTTATTATATAATCATTATGAAAATAACTTCCACTTGTAACACGCACATTATTCACCCACTCTCGAAGAGAGAGAGCAACTCAAGCAGGAAGATAGCCAGTTAATGAGCAGGTGCAAACAATTGCCCAAGCTCTGCAGTCCTCTGCATATGAAGGTATTACCGGCCAATCAATGACTGTTTACAAGTGGGAGGAAACCGGAGCACCCGGAGAAAACCCACGAGTGCGAGGGGGAAACGCTGTATCCCATGCAGACGGAACAGGTGGAGTCCACATTTTCGCTGTTCTGCTTTCTCCTGGCGAGCCAGGGTATGGCGCCCCCTCGACCTCCCACAGCAAGAGAGCTTCGCAACATTCAGTGAGATCCACCAAGCCTCGCTGCCTGCACAGGAGCACGGGCTAACGATAGGATCGCGTTGTTGGTCAACTTAACACGTACGTTTTTTGTTGCAGCCAGTGTTATGATTCATAATTTATTTGAAGGTTTACACAGTTGGCCCTAAAACTAAAATCCAATGGTGAATCATGTCATTGACGTTTGAAATGAACTTTTTTTTGTTGAAGAACAACAACACAATCTGCAGGAGCGGGACTGAGCCAGGGTACGCCTGCCCAGACCATCCGGGGCTACTCCCCGGTGTGCTGCCGTGGGGTTTCCTAAATTCTAAACCAGAAAAGCCATTCTCCACCTACAGACTGGCCACGTCATCACATCCTCCATGACCCGCTTGACACACAAAAAAATATTGTTGAGGCCGGGAATAAGGGGTGGGCAAATCAGAGCTATGGCTCAGGGTGCAAATCTCTGAGTATCTCCATGGAAAATGCATGAATACAGAGTGCTTTATAGTTTCTACTCAATTTTAAAGAGGTGTCATAACGCGTGCATTATAATGGATAACAATTGCACCCATGAGTCACATTACAGACACAAAGTGACAACTAATAACAAGGTTGCAGCCAGACGGTTAGATTTCAAGGCACTAAATAATTTGTTTTGTTCACAGTTCAGTGTACATTAATTTGGGTCTGTCATTGATGTATGAGCATTTTTCAAAAAGAGACAACATTAATTTATCACAAAAAACTTAGTAACATCCACACAATAGACTAATTCTTCATACAGTGACATTCCTAAAATACTGGACATCTGTGAAAAAGAGCTTCATAGCTCATCAGATTCCTCCAGTCTAAACAAAGGTTCTAACTACTTAAACACACGTGTTCTAGTGGTCCATAAACTTCCCCGTGCCGGCACCAGAGACATCTTCTGGTTGAATTTTGATTTAAAGCTTTCGTGACTGCAGTAATTCATATTCTTAGCTCTTTCGGTAAAGTCACGTTGAAGGGAAACAATAAAATAATAAAAAATATATAAAACAATAAGAAATATTTTTTTATTTTATTGTTTCCCTTCAACGTGACTTTAACGAAAGAGCTAAGAATATCTTCTGGTTCTGAAGACACAACTGCAACACTCTACCACAGCCTCACTCACCACTGTTGGACTGGCGTCCACATAGACCTTCTACCAGAGTTCAGAAAGATGGCATTCTGCAGGGACTAGATCCGGCCTGTATGCTGGATAGTTCCAGAACCTCAAGTCCGAGCTTTCCCAACAATTTAGTTGCTGCATGTGCAGAGTGCGTGCATGCAATGGGTATTACGGACAACTTATTTTATCAACAGCCCACAGCATTCCCGATAAAGAGCCAGGCTTCACTTTAGTGTTTTTTTTGCAAGTCGCAATGTGTAATGCTCGTTACTTAATTTTTAACGAGGCTAAAAACAAATCTGTCTTCATTTTTTGTCGAGAAGAAGGCTGAGATTTGATTTATTTATTTCGTCGTGGAAGAACTTGTTTGCTTTTATTCAGTAATCTTATCAATTATTCTTTGGCTCACAGTGACGGATCAACGTTTCATTAGCAGCGATGACATGAGACAAGAATGCATTACCTTCATACAAGTATTTGTCTGACAACGAACAATAAACGTGAATCTATTTACTTAATGGAAAATGTGTGGCACCCAACAGGCACACATTTTTCATAAAATCAACTTGTGGACTATTGAATGAAAATCTTCCACACTGATCCCTTTGAATGCGAATACATGCTCAATTTTCACTTGACTGTCACCCAGAAATGTACCTCTCCACAGGAGTGGCATCAGATCTTTGATCGCGTTGATGCACCGATTGGAGCGACAATTATGATGATGATCATCATCATCATCATAACATCGCTCATGTTCTGATTGTGGCGGACTACAGTGAGGGAAAAAAAGTATTTGATCCCCTGCTGATTATGTACATTTGCCCACTGACAAAGAAATGATCAGTCTATAATTTTAATGGTAGGTTTATTTGAACAGTGAGAGACAGAATAACAACAAAAAAATACAGAAAAACGCATGTCAAAAATGCTATCAATTGATTTGCATTTTAATGAGGGAAATAAGTATTTGACCCCTCTGCAAAACATCACTTAGTACTTGGTGGCAAAACCCTTGTTGGCAATCACAGAGGTCAGACGTTTCTTGTAGTTGGCCACCAGGTTTGCACACATCTCAGGAGAGATTTTGTCCCACTCCTCTTTGCAGATCTTCTCCAAGTCATTAAGGTTTCGAGGCTGACGTTTGGCAACTCGAACCTTCAGCTCCCTCCACAGATTTTCTATGGGATTAAGGTCTGGAGACTGGCTAGGCCACTCCAGGACCTTAATGTGCTTCTTCTTGAGCTACTCCTTTGTTGCCTTGGCCGTGTGTTTTGGGTCATTGTCATGCTGGAATACCCATCCACGACCCATTTTCAATGCCCTGGCTGAGGGAAGGAGGTTCTCACCCAAGATTTGACGGTACATGGCCCCGTCCATCGTCCCTTTGATGCGGTGAAGTTGTCCTGTCCCCTTAGCAGAAAAAGACCCCCAAAGCATAATGTTTCCACCTCCATGTTTGACGGTGGGGATGGTGTTCTTGAGGTCATAGGCAGCATTCCCCCTCCTCCAAACACGGCGAGTTGAGTTGATGCCAAAGAGCTCCATTTTGGTCTCATCTGACCACAACACTTTCACCCAATTGTCTTCTGAATCATTCAGATGTTCATTGGCAATCTTCAGACGGGCATGTATATGTACTTTCTTGAGCAGGGGGACCTTGCGGGCGCTGCAGGATTTCAGTCTTCATGGCGTAGTGTGTTACCAATTGTTTTCTTCGTGACTATGGTCCCAGCTGCCTTGAGATCATTGACAAGATCCTCCCGTGTAGTTCTGGGCTGATCCTCACCGTTCTCATGATCATTGCAACTCCACGAGGTGAGATCTTGCATGGAGCCCCAGGCCTAGGGAGATTGACAGTTCTTTTGTGTTTCTTCCATTTGCGAATAATCGCACCAACTGTTGTCACCTTCTCACCAAGCTGCTTGGCAATGGTCTTGTAGCCCATTCCAGCCTTGTGTAGGTCTACAATCTTGTCCCTGACATCCTTGAGAGCTCTTTGGTCTTGGCCATGATGGAGAGTTTGGAATCTGATTGATCGTTTGCTTCTGTGGACAGGTGTCTTTTATACAGGTAACAAGCTGAGATTAGGAGCACTCCCTTTAAGAGTGTGCTCCTAATGTCAGCTCGTTATCTGTATAAAATACACCTGAGAGCCAGAAATCTTTCTGATTGAGAGGGGGTCAAATACTTATTTCCCTCATTAAAATGCAAATCAATTTATAACATTTTGACTTGCGTTTTTCTGGATTTTTTTGGTTGTTATTTTGTCTCTCACTGTTCAAATAAACCTACCATTAAAATTATAGACTGATCATTTCTTTGTCAGTGGGCAAACGTACAAAATCAGCAGGGGATCAAATACTTTTTTCCCTCACTGTACGTGTGTGCAAGCCTTTTTACATTGTTCATGCAGTTGGCACTATATTGGAGCTTATTTTTTTAATCAATTTAACCCGCCTTAGAGGTCTCAGAGGACACAACTCATGACAGGTCACCGCTATTCACATGAGCAGTTGTTTACTACCGTATGATTACGTGACACTGGGTCATGGGGCAGTACCTGATTCATGCCCCATTCACTTTGCACATGTTATTTGTAAAAATCTAAATTGAACAAATATTCGCTTTACTCATACAGATACCCTTATATATATGAGCAGTGCTTGAGCCTGGTCCGTGTAGATTGCAGCATGACGTGACCATCGTGAACTCACGATTGCGCAAATAATATTGCTCCCCGATTTAGCCTTAGACTGTCCTAGCAATCGCTGATAGCGAGCATCTCTTGGGGTCGGTACGACACACGAGAGGATGGTGTGGTCGATGCCGTTTACCAGCGGCCACCCTTGTCTGCCCCAGTGTTCATGTCTACACACTCCAACCATCTAACTACTCATGTATGCCTGAGAAGATCAAGGACAAATCTAGGCCGAGCTCCGATACCAGATGCCACTGCTGCGGGAAAAGAACCCGGGTTGCTCTAGTTATAATGATGTCTGTAAACTATGAGGCAAAGCTCCCTGGTAGTGCCCACAACAGAGGCTCTCGGATCAAATATTGTTAGTGAGCACCTGTCAATGCTGTAATGGCACACGAGGCAGTGGTTGTGGCTAGGACAGTGCTCGGCTGCCTTTGTCTCCCAGGTGCTGATGTTTACACACTTCACCAGATGCTCGTTTAAGCCCAAGTTGACCAAGGGGAAAGAAAGCCCAGGATAAGTTAAGTTATTTGCCGCTGATGTTAGTCGTGGCTGCGAATCCAACTCGGGTAGCCGGGTTCTCACAGCGCAATTCGTTTGTTCCTTTGCCGATGGGCGTTTTGGATCTGTGCTCAGCGAATGTACACACCAAAGGACACATACACACACATTTGTAGAAAATAAAGATGCATACTCTCATACGCGTAGCAATACACGCGCACACGGAAACAGCAATGTCCTACCTTAGCATGCAGCTTGGCCAGCTGTTTTTCATTCACCAGGGTCTTGTAGATTTTCTTTTTATAGCGAAACTGCAGGCAGGAGAGAAAACAATTATGGATAAACACATTTAATTTCCACCAAGTTAGATCGGGCACAACATAAGCACAACACTCGTTCTATCGTAAGCAGGCAGAACATCTCAGCGCAATTCCAAAGAAGCACGTCGCAGCTACATATGTTTAGAATGACTGTTTTATATCTATATACTGTATATGCATAGACACAATCCCCCTTTAAGCCTTATTGGTGTTTTTGGACAAGTTCTGTAAGTGAGTGGCTATTAAATCCAGACGTGGGGTGTGCTACACTACACCCAAGCTGCCTCTGTCCTCCCAGTGTCGATGCAGTTCTGCTGATCGCACTGACCTAGGTGCAACCTTTGAGGCGAAGTAGGGATTACGAAACCGCTCCCCAATGCTTTTGCTAGAAATTTCCTGGTGCCAGTTCGGACGTTCCGCAAAAGCGATTGGGCGAACATTCGGGGGACAGTTTGTTGTTGTTGTTGTCGTTGTTGGCCCAATTCACAATGCAGAATGAGCAGAGCCGAACGTCTGCACAAATCCCACTGTCGGGATGCGGAGTAAAATGAAAAGGTTCATGTTTCTGCGGGATGGCTTTAATCCTTTTTAAAAAAGCAATCGCACGCACGAGCATTCGTTTCAAACTTAAAACAATAAATGGGATGCTTTAACATAGGCTTCATAATTAAAATGGATTAATTCGATATGCATTATGCACACGCACGCACATCTATGAAAATGTAATATTATTATGCAGTCCCAACTCCGATTAGCACGGTTGGTTACATACGGTGCAAAAGAAGTTCAACATCCATACAGAAAAAAGCCACATTATATAGCGATGCACTGAAAAAATGTTAATCCCACTGTACACAATGAAAATGTCAGTTGGAGTGCATTCAAATCAAAAGAACATTCACACAGGAGTTTAGGCAGCCAGCAGAGTCTTGAATGTGTAAGAGGCTCTTGTAATAAAATAACTGATACCATTGTGGGCAAAATGAGAACTTAATATGCAGGCTGGCCTTAATTTGAGGTAAAAAAAGACTTGTCTTGAGAAAAGTAATCCGAGCGGAGAAGCTAAACCGCAATTGTTATAAATGACACTCGCATTTGTTTCGTGCGAATCCCGGCATGTTTCAATAACCCTTCACAACTTCAAAACGCTGACGCCAACTTTTTTTTTATCGATTTGAAGGCTCAACAAATTCCAACGCCTCGCGTGCGAACCGCATGAGAATCTTCAAGTGCATTTGCCGAATAAACGTCAACGTAAAATTAAGAGATAATTCTTATTCGAGAAAGACAATTGAATAGACATTGCACGGTAACAGCAATCCTTTTTTTTTCTCAGGAGAAGCAAAGAAAATATAGATGGGATGTTGTGCGGATAATGCAATGCTGCATAGGATGAAATGGATGGCGCGTTTGGGAGAAAAGAGAGGAGCATGAGAAGCATCCGTAGGCGTGAGGTGTCTGACGATGGCAGTTGTAATTCTTTGTTTACCCAGGGAAGCTTCAAATGATATTTTTAAAGGACAGGCCTGCTTGAGGTGGATATTTAAAGTGACTGCAAGTCGCCTGTCAGAAATCTCCTTGCTGGAGCACCTCCCACATGCACCTTCTTGAGGTCAGCTTATAGCAGTGGCCCTGCTCTGTATTCCGAGGCTCAGGCTCAGCAGGAAAAAGGAGAGAGGTGTTGGCGTTTTGTGTTCGGGCTCTGTGACTGTGGAACTCTCTGATCAATCATGTCAGAGGTTCTATACCCCACAGGGACTACTTTTATATGAAGGTTTCAGGCCTCTGTTTATAATTTAGCCTTCTGATTTTATTCTGGCTTCTTATTATGTTATTGCTTTGATTGAAAACTTTCGTGACTGCAGGGATTCATATTCTTGGTTCTTTCGGTAAAGTCACGTAGAAGGGATCATCAGTGCACCTTTATTATTGTATAAACTGTCAAATCACCACGAGTCCATCTGAACAAACTGTCAAATCGCTCTCCGTGGTGCTAACGTTAAAAAAACCCGCCACTTTTTTCAAATTTTCTTGCTGTGGTTTTCACACCTGATGATGATTGCTTGTGTTGCAGTCGAAACGTCGTGAGAATTTTATTGTTTTATATTTTTATTATTTTATTGTTTCCTTTCTACCTGACTTCACCGAAAGAACCAAGAATATGTTATTGCTTTGTTAATTTTTTCCTTCTGCTCGTATATATTTTTTTACAACAGTTGCCTTCGAAAAATGTTCAGTTTTATCCTAACTTGTGTTTGTTGGTCTTGAACCTTGCGGCAGCAATCTCACCCCCCACAAGCTGCTCAACCACAGGCATGTGCTGCACCCCCCCCCCACCCCAATGGCTGCCATCCTTGAGTGCAATGACAACTGTTCCGTATTTGATGCCCGGGTGAATAGGGAGATAGGGAATGTTTGTAATTAAAGGATTACGGAGTCGCTAAAGGACATACTTTCATAATGAAGGCAACTGATCAAAGCAAAAACTAAAAGTCAAAGTAAATCCCTGATTAAAACAAGCAATGGCACAGCACCGATTTTAATTGTGGGCGACTAGCTACTGGCGTAGGACTCCACATTCCTATGGCAAGGGAGTCAACAACCTTCCACAGGATGACCAGTTCTAACTCAACACAAAGCGCTACTCATGTTTATTATCCATGAAGGACATGATAGTCTAAGTTGCACCCTTCTGATTGCAAGTTGAGGTATCTGACCACACCGGCAACCAGCCAGATGTCAATTACTGATATATATAAAAACAATTGAGTCCTCTTGAGGTATCTTCGAGTGACAATGCATCGGATCATCAGTGCACCTTTATTATTGTACAAAAATGGGGATATTTATCTGGAACATAGCAACACGAAGAGAGGTACAGCATGGGAAGGGATTGTGAGCAGGCTCGTGGCTTTCATAGGAACTGTACCATCACAAGAGAGTTGTCATGTTGAGCTCAAGATTATGAGGCCCCTCCTGCTTTTGAACGTATTTATCCAGGGAAGTCACACTGAGCTGTAGGACTCTTTATCCGGAGGATCTTGCATTGGGTTATTATTTTAATGTTTTTTTTCAGTCAATTAGTGCTGAGTGTTTATACGTCTGGGGGGAAGCCCGAGCACCTGGAGAAGATTCACGGACGCGAGGGAGCAACACTATATCCCCGTACAGATGTAAACATATGGCGATTAGTTAATTTGCTGTGCTGCCCTCTTCTGGCGAGTCAGAATATGGCACCTCAACGCTCACGGGAAGGAAGTTCCACATTTATCCAATCCACCAACCCTCACTGCCTCCACAGTGCTGGAGTACAGGTCACGTGCATAGCCACCACTGACCGGTTCATAATTTTCTATATGAATCATCTGTGCTCGGGATTGTTTACATTACATATAGATATAAAACAGGCAAAGATCCCCCATATAGCCAATATAGTATAATAAACACACACTTTCTCAGCGGGAATAATGAGATTGTTTAGAAAGACACCTTTTGTAATGGTGCCAATTCACTCTTTCAACAATTGCTTGAAATTGCATTTAAGTGATGAGCACAAAAATCAATGGGGCAATGCTAGAAGAAAGAAAATGCCGTCCAAGTAATTGGATTATTATAGATGCAGAAAAAAAAGACATTTTTATAATGGATGTCCACAAATATTCCAAACATGTATGAATGCGGTATAGATTTGTTATTGCACTGTGGAATGGTAATTATGCGATTACAATGTGTTTTATGATGGCAATGTGTATTATCCGTGTGTATTTTCAAAACAATATTACCACAGTTGGGTTTTTCATCGGTTTTGTATCGAGCGCTATCATGGTGGACTCGACGCAGAGATTTAATTCTAAAGTTACGGCCGTTCTCGTAAAAATTGTTCGCCTTTACGTGCGAATCGATCGTCCTCGCAGCGGCTTTTGGCCATCGAGGAGGGACTGTCACCGCAACGCGCGCTTTCAAATGCGCTTCTAAGGCCATCTGGAACGCTTTTCCTTCCGATTTTCGGAAGCAACTGGACCTATGCACTTTTAAAATCTAGATTGAAAACGCATTTCTTTTCTTGAGAACTGTTTTTTGTGTCTAGTTTTGTGTCCTTCCTCCACACCTCCGATTAGTTCGGCTGGCTATGTATGGTATGAAACAAGTTTAGCATACGTACATACAAAGAAGCGATGGCTCCATTGCCGAACTGATCCACGCTAACAAGAACACGTGGATCGTTTACACAAGCACAGAAGGAAAGAGGGATTAAAAAAAAATATTTGCAACCTTTAAAAAGATGTAATAAAATACATTATTTGATCGTATTAATGTAATTATAACCCTCTATCAATCAATGTATTACCCCCTACCCATAAAAACTACAAAAAGCGGCATTCACCACTAAGTGGTGGTAACGTCACTACGGTGCTTGTGTCAGACTATGTGCACTTTAAATCGCCTACTCATGGTAATACATTCACAGTCAAGATGAAGATCGTTTAGACTAAATTAACCTATTTTATTACAATTTTATTTTATTTTACTAGGTAAGGCCCACTGAGCTATACATATATTTAAGAAGTGACCTGGCCACAAATAATAGCTCAACGAAGTGGCTTATCACGTAGACATTTATTGTAGCCAAATACTCTAAATAAATGTTTCTAAATGTGGTGGGTGACCAGGACCATCCCGGCTGCTTTTATCTGCCCAGAGATGATGTTGACACACTTCACCAGGTACTGCTTTAAGGTTCTATCAACCTAGGCGATGCCCAGGACCAGTTTAAATATTCACTACTTTTATCGGTCGGAACTCGAGTCACCGGGTTCATAGCTCAGTGCATTAACCTCTAGACTATTACTCCCGACATTCATACCGTCAGAACACAAAGACAAATATCCCCCATATAGCCTTAAAATAATTATGGGGCAATTGCTGTTAGCGAGCACCTATGAAGGCCATAATAGCACCCGAGGGGGTGGGTGGCCAGCACCACGCCCGCT